GGGGAAGAAACTAAGATTCTTATTTGTTTTCTAGTAATACTACTCTTTCCATTTTCTCCCTTGCTAGATGGCTGAAAAAGAACATGCAACCCACCGAGGATCTCAAGTCGGTGATCTTTAGGCTGTCAGCGTTCGGCCCAATTCAGTCAGTCACTGTTTGTGGGCGTCAAAGTGCTATAGTGGCATTCGAAGACATGATGTCAGCTTGTAATGCTGTGAATGCTTTTCGAAGCAGGGTTCCAGGCACAATGTTCCAGTGTTCCTGGCAACAACGATTCATGTCGAAGGACGTAAGGCTTTCTGTTACCAAAAACCTATGTGAATTCTTAAAGCTTGTTTTATGAAATTTTTTATTCATCGGGGCTGTAGTGAAATATAGTTGATATTTTAACACTGAAAAAAGGCACAATGAAGTTTCTTTAGTTCAAGTATTAGAAATCAGAAATAATAGCACATCCCTTCCTTTCACATGCTTAACTTTGCTGGAGTGTCGTCTTCACAGTTTTGCTTTTCTGGATAAGAAGTTCATGACCGCATTCATGCATTCATCTGACAGCCACCTTCCCTGGATTACCCTGCATTCTTCAGCATTAACAGCATGCAGCTTTTCTTTCTCTGTATTTCTGATTATCTCTTTTGAAACTCTCATGGCCTGGAAAGACAAAACCAACAATAAGGTTAAGAGTTATTCTAGTAGGAGTGGAATTATTCCACGATTCTGATTCTTGTTTCTCCAATGTTCATTTAATTAATCCTATTAAATCTTAAGATACATGTGTAATATAATACAGTGCTTCTCAAACTTTAATGTGCATACAAATAACCTCAGTAGGTGTGGGACAGGCCTGCGATTATACATTTCCAAAAAACCCCAGATGGATGTTAAAGCTTCTGGTTCCAGGACCACATTCTGAATAACAAGAATATAAGAGTAATCAGTCACTAACCACTACATATAAAAACAAAAATGCTACACAGTAAGAATCTCCTAAAGTACAAACAACCTATCTGGCTTCTCACTTGAATTAAAAAATAAAAGTGCTTAGCAAATTCTGCCTACCCTCCTTCTCAAGTTAACCCCCAAAAGAATTGTCCCTCTGCCCTTGTATCATAGAAATGGAATGTGTTTGGCAAGTTTTGTAAAAATCAGTATTTCCAAAGTTATTATGGTTATTTTTAATCCCAAATTTAGATGTGCTTAAAGCCAACAAAAGATATGTCTTGTCTTTCTTATGACATACTCTCCTAAGGCAATACATTTTTCCCTTAGGAAATTATTTCCATGGTTCCTACAAGTAAAAGATGAATACTAACATTTGGGGGGAGCTTTGCGTATGTTTTCAGCCTGGTCCAAACTTCCTTCTGAAGAGTACTATCAGGAAAAACCTCAGTGACGAGTCCTTGAGCACATGCCTCGCCTGCTGTTAACTTCTTTCCAAAAATAAGCATCTCAGTTGCCTGAAATGAAAACAAGGTTAAGACACTAACTAACCTAAAACAAGGCTTCAATTAACTTCAGAATTGACTGCTTTCAGGAGACATAGAGGAATTTACTCATGGTCTTTTGAGGTTGCTGGTATTTCTCAGTAAGGGAGAAACTGATGACTTCAATAAGCAATAGTTTGCAAACTGTGCTGAGACCATCGCAGGCTCTCTGGAAAGTCTAGAAGGGCTGCTGCTGTGTGTGTGTCTATGTTGGAGAAGCAAGATCAGGAAGCCCAGGGCAGAAATGACCTGAAGCAGATGCTGATTCTATAACCCATGGTAGCTATGATTTTCTGTTGTGTACACTATAAACCATTACAAAAGGAAAAGAGAAAGAAAAATCATGCTCATAGGGTCAAACTTGAGAAACTTTTACAATTCCGTTACCTGGAAATTGTACCCAGAGTTCTAACTCTGAGAATCTTCTTTGCACAGGTACTCATATTAGTTCTATTTCACTGAAGGAAAGTGAAGGAGAATTATGTTTAGTTTCTAAAAAGAACTGAGGTCTCTAAGCAGGTATCCTCTTTACATTTGCAATTCCTCTTCCAGAAGAGTGAACACCTCTTCACAGCCAAATGCTCTGAGCCCTAGTTGGGTCTGTACAACCTTTCAAAGCTCAAACCTGTACAACAATTCAGGGTATGTGACAATTCAGGGTATGTAATGAGAGTTAAAAATATATGTACATATATATATATNGAGCACAGGCAACTAGATTTCCATAAACATAGTGAGAGACCTGAGCAGCCATTTAACCACCAAGTCCACATAGGCTGGCAAAACAGGCTGATGGAAACACTGTTGCGACTGGGATTGGCTTTGGAAGCAGTAAAGCCCCATGATGCCTCATGTCTGCTGGTACTTCACATGAATATGACTCTGAAAGGGAACATGTTATCATATCACTCTCAGTGGACACTGCTCATCCATAAAGTGATCCCTGAGTTCAGCGGAAGAAGGGAGGCTGGCACAGCCCTGGTCCTCCAACTGACAAACGCCACACAGCTGTGCAGGACGAGGTCTTGTACTGCCTGCAATGCAATAAGCACCAGGCAAGCGGCTGAAAACGGAGTATCCCAGTTTGGGAAGTTGCAGAGAGAATTTCTAGTTTTGCCATAGTTTGGTTCCTCCATATGTAAAACTCTTAGA